TTCTTCTGATCATATATTCTGTATATTCTGTTAAATTCATTTTTCAAAGACTTTTGGCTTCTGCAACTTAGCTACTAATATCATCTTTTACATTTCACCTAGTGAGTACCTGAAGATGTAATCTGATCCCCTCTTACCATCAGGGACATCTGGGATCCATTTTATCTTTCCCACTGGCTTGTTGATTAACCAGAAAATGTTTTGAATTGGATTCATATACATACTCCACAGATTTTATGAATTATAATGGGAGCAAATAAAAGGTCAAATTTTATTTTTGTGCTTTTAAAGAAGGAATCCTAAAATAGTTAGGATAGAGTGTTTTAAAATTGGAGAGAGAAGCTATTGTATTGCTTTAAATGGTTAAATTCAATAATTCCTGGCATCATCTATTTTAAATAAAATATATTTTCTGGATAGTGAGGAACTCTGCGTTCACTCAGTAATCTGACACAGAGCCATCAATTCGTGGGGATACTACAGTTAAATGGAAATAGTAAACCAGGGAAAGCCTGAACCGTTTCCTCCCTTTTGCTCTATTTCAGCTGTATGATTTTTTAGGATACCAAAGGGTTTAGAGTCAGAGATCATTAATCCAGTGCATTTTACACATACCATGTTTTTAGCCAGATTCTTGGCTGAGGATGGAGATTGTACTTAGTGTAGTTTCTGTGCATAAATATGTAAATAATAGTGCTTTGTTTTAAATATCACAATTGAAAACTCATGATTTCTACCACTAAGATTTTAGTAAAGTTTCCTGAATATATACCATATTCACGAAACATTCAGGAAACATATGAAGGAGGTTAAGAACTACCTTTTATGGTCAACACTGATAGATAGCTTAAGGTGTTATAAAATATGTTTCAAGAAGCTAATATTTTAGTGCTATCCAGAAAAATATATTAAATATTTTTCATAGTAGTTAGGATGTTAGTTTCTCTCTTTTATTGAAATAACTTTGCTTTACAGTACTGGATATATTTTCGGAGTATAGGTTCACTTCTGTTTAAATATATATTGTCGTTCCAGGCGTACCACAAAGTACCAAAATCCTTCTAGCAGAGGTCACTGGACCACCGCCCACTTTAACCTTTGCTCCCATCCCCTTCTTCATATTTGGTGATTTCATTTCTGTAGTCAGAATCCAAGAGTCTATTTGACTTTCTTCCCCTGCTTGATTTGTTTCTTTTTGTACTACATATGAGTGAGATCATCCAATATTTTTCTTGCTCCTGACTTATTTTTCTTAGTGAGACCCACTTCAACTCTATACTTGTCACAGATGACAAGATTTAATTTTATAATTAAGTGGGATTTCATTGTAATATATACCACATATTCTTTACTCATCCATCGTTGAGCACTTGAGGTGTTTCCATATGTTGGGTTGTTTTAAGTGGAACTATAATGAGCATAGTTAAATATATATGTATATAAACATACATATATATTTGAATTAGTGTTCTTATAATGTTCCGATTTCTGGGTGATATGATAGGCCTATTTTTTAATATTTTTTAAAATCTTCATATTTTTTCATAGAAGCAGAATCAGTTTGCATTACCACCTATTGTGTATGAGAGTGTTTTGCTCTAAATTTCTAGCATTATATCCCTAATAATTTTTTTATGCAGGCCGTTCTTCTAGGTGGGAGGTGATATCCCATTGTGATTTGACTTGTTTTTTGATGATTATAAATAAAAACGAACAAGGTCTCAGTGTTCCCATTGACCATTTTAAAGCATCTGTTTTTAAATCTAACATTTGGGAAAATTGGGAGGTATAGTGGTTTCATGAACCAAATACAATTATAAACTAAAAACTTTGTACATGGTGACTCTATATACAAATAAGAATTATTCTGTGGTTTTTATTATTATAATACTTGTGGGATCAGATACTGTGATGATTTTCTTGAATTTCCGCTCCTGCAGCTGGGTGATCCCAGATGCATTAGGGGTTCAGTGAGTGTCTTGAACTACATTGGGGATGTTTTGGGTTCAACAAAGAAACTATTGCCAAATCCATCTTCCCTTAATTTTTAAACATGTGTATTTCAAGGGAAATTTGATTCATATGTTTCTGATTCATTTACAATTAAATCATCAAAATGTTATTTTGTAAGAGCTATTTGATGTCCAAAAGTCTTTCTGAACCTGTTTTATAAGTCCTCTAAAATCTTTTTTCTTAAAACAGGAAGTTGCATTTTGCCAAGTACAAATAAACTGAAACATTTAAAAGATTCAAGTTCAGTTTCCAACTCTGAATTCCAGGTTTTAAGTGCATTCTCAACTTAGCAAAATATTATTTTCACAACCCACACAAAGGTATGAGCAGAAGGAAAGACAATATTAATGGAAGCGAGGAAAGGTATTCATGAGCATTATTGTTCTCAATGATCTTTTTCTCATTGTGAAAGTTCATAAGACCTATCACAAGTGTTCTTGAAACTATTTGGTACAATTCTACTTACATACAAGAACATCTCTCTGTGTATTGACTCTTTGATGCTTCAAAATTTGTTTGGTTTTTGTTCATCAAAACAGATTTTGATGAACAGAAGGGCCTTATGAAAGGCTAAGAATTTAACATTAGTTTTATAATTCAAAAATGTAATTAACACTTGGAATTGGAAAATGCAGCAAATAAGTTCAGAGTTAGAAGTCTCACTTTAAAATTGTCCTTATTTTTGGAATGCAGAGGTGATTCAGCTTGACCTTAGAATTACCTTGTGTCAGATTCATTTTTATTTTTAGTCAAAGAAGGTACTGATTATGAGATGTATTTGGGACCATTCTAAGAAATTTCTTCAAATGATTTCACTTCGAAATAGATCTCTTCAGCATTTCAAATGAGGAAATTTGGGGAGGAATATTGTAAAGTTTAGGACTGTGTTTAGTCATGGGTTATTTTAAAATAGAAATTAGTGAAGTATAGGGAGGGACTGGCAGGATTTTTTTCGCTATGCAAGTTGTGGTCTTGCCTTTGAAACATGAATTTGTGAAAAATTAATGCATCAGAATCAGTATGTGTGTTTTCTTAACTCGAACACATGATTTGAAAGGAGCCACAGTTAAAACATTTCAGTTCAGATAGATTGCCATCAAGCAATTTGCCTGTTTTGTCCATTTTGCCTACTGAGAATGGAGGTTGAGGTTTTATATTTTCACAACAAATATCACAACAAAATATAATACACACTCACAGTGTTTTATACTTAAATTTTAACAATAGCTTATTATTTTAAAATTGACCAAGAAAATAATTTTATTATACTTTTTCCAGACAATATTTAAAATCATTGAAGCTCTGCGAGGTGACTGTGAATTTATAAATTATTCTTTTCATTTAATACTATGTTTTATTAACTCAGAACACATATATTATTACTAATAAAATTAATGAGAATTTATATTGTATTTAAGCTATTTTAAGTATCTTGCCTAGAAAAAAGTTGTTATTCCACATGCTTGAGTTTATACGTTAGCTAATAATATAACTAAAATTTGAGAAATGATTCAGGGATTTACTGAATAAAATAGCTATTCTATTCTCATGATTCTTATTTACATGTAAATGTATTTTTAGAGAAAGCAGCCTTGTGTAATAGGACTAACCGAAATGATAATGTAGTAACCATGAATTGCTAAAGGCAACTTGTAAATCCATTATTTCAGCTAAAAAGTAGCATTATAAAGCCTTTCCACAGATGGATATTCTATATTCTTCAATAGTAAATTCTAGTGTTACTGCATGTACAATAAAATTGACCCATCAAAACTCCCTTACAAGGAATAGGTGATACTATTTGCTCTTTTAAAGTTAAGTCTTATTTATTTTTAAAATTTATTATTTGTCAGATTATGACCAGTGCTCTAGTTTTACATTAAAAGGGCTCTTACTTAAAGTATACCTTAAAAATGATGTTATTTTATGTTGTCTCTGCCAATAGAATTTAATTTTCAGATCCAGAGAATGTCCAGTTTTTCAGCTCCCTCCCTCCCTCCCTCCCTCCCTCCCTCCCTCCCTCCCTCCCTCCCTCCCTCCCTCCCTTCCTTCCTTCCTTCCTTCCTTCCTTCCTTCCTTCCTTCCTTCCTTCCTTCCTTCCTTTCCCAAGCTATCCTTAGGTCTCACTCCTGGATTTGTGCTCAGGAATCACTCCTGGTTGGGTTCAGAGGACCATATATGCCCAGGAACCAAACTTAGGTTGGCTGTATGCCAGGCAATTGTACTGACAACTCTATATCTCTCCACTCTCCACTCTCTGTCTTGTGCCAGTGTTAGGCTGACATAACCTCATGAAAGTCTGAAAGTAACTTTGAAAGAAAGACTCTGGATCTTAGCTACACTTCCACAGAGGAGGAAGTCCATATCTTTCTGCTTGACCATTGCTGCCTTGGTTATAGTTATTCATCTACATATGCTGTTCTTTTTTTTCCCCCATGTTTAATTGTGGATATTGCACTTTCTTAATTCTAGAAAAACACTCAACAAAAACTTAAAAAAATGTTTTGAATGTAATGATTATAACTTTTATTGGTAGTTGCTAAATAAAACATTGTCATTGTGCTATCAATATCTGATATAAAAAATGAAAAAGTTAACTAATTCATTGATTTTTCTAAGTTTTATATAATATATAAGGAAACTGAAAATGGCATTATAACATGGAAAAAGTCAGAAGCCAATTGACATCATTGAGAAAATGTATATTAAGGTGATACCTTTTCCAACTATTGTCAGTTCAATCTATTTTGATTTTATTACTTCCCATTCAACTCCAATCATAAAACAAAACTCAAAGTTATTACTTTTCCAAAGGTGCATTTTGATTTAGGGATATAATCATGTGATTTCTTATGTGATATGGAAGAGTTCATCTTTAATTACCAAAACATTTGCCTTGTTCTCTAATACTTTAGCACACAAGTTGTTCCAGTTTTCTGTTTGGGCTACTCTCTTAATCTGTGCATGCCACCCCCTTTTTCCTTCAGGACTGTCCACCAGAAGCAGGTGATTTCCGAGCCCAGCAATGCTCAGCTCATAATGATGTTAAGCATCATGGCCAGTTTTATGAGTGGCTTCCTGTCTCAAACGATCCTGACAACCCATGTTCTCTCAAGTGCCAGGCCAAAGGAACTGCCCTGGTTGTTGAATTAGCACCGAAAGTCCTAGATGGCACACGATGCTACACAGAATCATTGGACATGTGCATCAGTGGTTTATGCCAAGTAAGTATTTACCTCATTTAATTCTGTTTTTCCAGAGATTTTTAGTACCACCCTATAGAAAATTGTATGTAGCTTTGCTATCTGAATCACTCAATGCTACTTTCTCCTTGAGCTTTATGCCAATTTTAAAGTTTAATTTTAGTCAAAATTACAAGTGCTGTATTTTCTGTTAAAAAAAAGGTAAGCAAGAATTTTTTCTTTCAAATCTCACTTGAATATAGAAAAAGAATAAAATTTCTTGAATAAGGTGTGCTGTTTTTGTGCTAGACTGTGGTATTATCTATACCTTGAAACATTAAGTGTTAGTATGTGTGTATCTGGATTGATCCAAAGGCTTTGGCTTTTGTTTACTTGAAGTTTTAAAATCAATAAAGAAAGATTAATTAGAAAATCTCTGGGTAAACTATAGAGCTTATTGCCTTTTAATCATAATTACAAAAATTGTTTAAAGTTCAGACTATAGAAAAGGCAATACAATGTCAGCCAAATCACAGGGGTGTATCTATAGTACAGTGGGCAGGGCATTTGCCTTGCACATGACCAACCTGGGTTCAATCATTGGCATCCTATATTGTCCCCTGAGCACCCCCAGCAATAATTCCCAGTGTAGAGGCAGGAGTAAACCCTGAGCATCGCTTGATGTGGCCCCCAAACAAACAGACAAACAAAAAGCACGAAGGTTTTATTTATCATTTTACCATTATTTGTTTTGCTTGGGTAGTTAGTAAAGTTGAAAGAGTTCATGTTTGCCATATATTTCCCATTTTGAATTTAAAGTGTTTTTTTATATTAGGATGACCAGCCCAGTTTTATCTTTCTCTATTAGAATTATTTTGCAAAGAATTAACCATTCAGAATAATCTGTTTTGCTACAATGGCAAGATTCTGTCTTTTATTTATTTATATAACTGAAACATATACTACATATTCTTTAGGCATTCATCAGGCACTTTGTTTCCAACTCTTAACTATTCTATATGATTCAGCAATGAACATGGAGCTTATATATTTATTTGAATTCGTATGTTTGTATTTTTCAGGTAAATACTAAAAGTGAAATAACTATATTTAATTTTTTAAGGAACCCCATTATGCTTTTCAGGAATGACTATCAATTTACATCGCCACAAATAGTCAATGAGGGTTCTCTTCTCTTTATATCTACTCCAATATTAAATTTTATGACTTGGAATAATAGATATTTTTATTTATTTATTTTTAAGTTTATTGGATCACAGTGAGATAGTTACAAACTTGCATGATTACATTTCAGTCATATAATGCTTGAGCACCCATTCCTCCACCAGTGCACATTTTCCACCACCATTGTTCCCAGTGTCCTTCCCTCCACTCCTACCCCATCCCTCTCCCTGCCTCTGTGGCAAACACAATCCTTCTTACTCTTTCTCTAATTTTGGGAATTATGATTTGCAATACAGATACTAAGAGGCCATCATGTTTGGTCCTTGGTCTACTTCTAGCACATGTCTCCCAACCCAGGTGATACCTCCAATTATCATTTATTTAGTCGTTCCTTCTCCATCCCAATTTCCTTTTCCCCCAGCTTGTGGGACCAACTTCCAATTCATGGAGTGATCCTCCTGGCCCTTATCCCTCTGTCCTTAGGTGCTATTCTCAAATTATGCTACTTTATATTCCACAAATGAGTGCAGTCATTCTTTGTCTGTTCCTCTCTTTCACTTAGGATGATACTCTCCATGTCCATCCACTTATATGCAAATTTCATGATTTTATCTCTTTTAATAGTTGCATAGTATTCCATTGTGGAGATGTTTTCTTTTACCAGTCATCTGTTCTCGGGTATTCGGGTTTTTTTCCAGATTCTGGCTTTAGTGAACAGTGCTACAATAAACATACAAGTGCAGATGTCATTTCTACTGTGTTTTTCATTTTGCATCTCCGGGATATATACCATTTGACCATCCCATATGACCCATCAATACCAGAAGTGTTATTGTTGGGTCATATGGAAGCTCAATTTCTAGTTTTTGGAGGAATGTCCATATTGTTTTCCAAAAAAGGCTGTACCAGTTGGCATTCCCACCAACAGTGAATATTGTCCCTTTCTCCCCACATTGGTGCCAGCACTGGTTGTTCTTGTTCTTATTCATGTGTGCCAGTTTCTGTGGTGTAGGATGATACCTCATTTTGTGTTGGTTTGCATATCCCTGATGATTAGTGATGTAGTGCATTTTTTCGTGTGCCTTTTGGCCATTTGAATTTCCTTTTGGGGGACGTTTCTGTTCATTTCTTCTCCCCATTTTTTGATAGGGTTAGAGGTTTTTTTCTTGTAAAGTTCTAACAGTGTCTTGTATATCCTGGATATTAAGCCACTATCTGATGGTTATTGGGTAAATATTTTTTTCCCATTCCATGGGCTCTTTCTGTATTTTAGTCACTGTTTCTTTTGAGGTGCAGAAGCTTCTTAGTTTGTTGCAGTCCCATATGTTTATACTTGCGTCCACTTGCTTGGTCAGTGGTATTTCATTCTTGAAGATGACTTTAGCTTCAATATCATGGAGGGCTCTGCCTACATTTTCCTCCATGTGCCTTATGAATTCAGGTCTGATATTGATGTCTTTAACCCATTTTGATCTCTTTGCATTTGATAAAGGTCTGAGTTCATTCTTTTACATGTAGCTGTCCAGTTTTCCCAGCATCACTTGTTGAAGAGAATTTCCTTGCTCCACTTAACGTTTCTTGTTCCTTTATCAAAGGTTAAGTGATCGTATACTTGAGAGGCTGTGTCAGAATATTCAACTCTGTTGTTCTATTGGTCTGTGGGTCTCTTTCTAATAGTAGACATTTTTAAAGCTTTGAAGTAGTATGTCATTATTCTTTTTATTTTTTGTTTCCCTGATAATACGAGATAAACCTGTTTTTATATGTCTTCTGACTATATATGTCTTATATTTTTCCCATTTATAAATTAATCTGACTTTTTTGTTTTTAAGTTTTCTACATTTTTGATATATTTGGATTATTAGTCACCATTGTTGGACATACGATATGCAGTATCTTACACTCTGTAGGAAATCCATTCATTTTGATGCCATTTCTTTTGCTGTATAAAATTTGATATAGTTCCCCTTTTGTTTTTGCTTTCATTTTCCTTGACATTCGAGTCCTCAAACATATATTTAACACTGATTTGAAGGATAGTAATGCCTATGATTCTGTTTTATGTATTTTAAAGTATATCTTTTATCCACATGTCTTATTTGTTTCATTAAATTTTACTGTCTATTTTTCTCAACACCATTAATTGAAGATATTTTTTCTTCATTTTCTCCGTTCCTTCATGAATATTCTTACCATATGCCATAAATTAATTGTCAATATTTATGATTTTATTTTTGGTCTCCAATGATGTCCCACTAACCTAAGAGCCTAGTAATATTCTAATATTATGCTGTTTTGATTATAATTATTGTATAATGTAGCTTGAACTTTAGCAGTTGAATACTTAATTCATGTTCTTTTTAATTTTTGTTCTTAATATTTGTTCTTTGTTCCTCTCTAGTGTTTTTGCTATTCAGACTCTTTTACAGTTATACATAAATTTTATCATTTTTCTCTTTTTTTCTCCATGAAGAACATTTGACTTTGAAAAGAGTACATCAAAGTGGATCTATTACTGAGATGTAATTTGAATGATATTAGTTATTGCAATATATGATCATTAATCTTTTAAAAAATATTATCGTGACCATATCTGGTGGTGATTCAGGGTAGAGAGGGTCAGTTCTAGTGCTCAGTCCTCAGGAATCTTAGGCTCAACAAATACAGAGTATTTTTAATCTCTTTGTGTCTTTCATTTGTGTTAACTTTATCTTAGAGTTTTCAGTGTGTTAACTAATCAGTTGAATGATGAATTTAATATATAATCAATAGGAAATAATATTGCTGGGCTTTTGGCAAACATAAGCATGTCTCTTTAATTTTGATTCCTATTCTTGTGACTTATTAGATGGGGATAAAAGTAAATTATGGAATATCTGAAAATAATTCTGATTTCTTCTTATAAATTATGGTAGGTTGTTACTATGCTCATTCATTCATCTTGCTAGAGGCAACAATATAATACAAATATAATATGATAATTCTATCCCTGGCACTGCATAGTCTCTATATGTAGTCTTGGAGGACTCTGATTACTGCTGTGGTGCCCCTCATGTTCTTTGGTACCACAGGGACTGAGTGGCACCACATACTTGGGCCCAAACATTGAGTAGTCTGGTCCAGTTGACCAAGAATCACTGGGAGTAGTTGCTGAGCCTTCCTCCCCCCTTAAACACTGACTGATCTCCTCTACCACAAAAACTAAAGTAAAAAAAATGTTAGAAATAGAGGTTTATTTCAGCTGGGGAGCAGGCATTCCCCTCACAGAGATCCAGTAAAAAGGACAAGATAGGTTAAGAGAAAATCATGGTGGTTTGAATGATAAACAGGACTATGGTTAGTAGTGTGAGGGCAATGGAGATTTAGTCAACACCATCAATACCAGATGATCTTGGTGTTTTCTGAGAAAGATCAGTATAGCTGCAGTAATCTGACACTTGAAGTAGAAAGAAGGCCTTGGAGATAAGTCAACTAAAGAGGCTCAGACTGTGGCCATGGTGAGTCAAAGTATGGATCTTGTCCAGGGAATGACAGCAGGAACATAAAGAATACAAAGTTTGAAACCAACAAGGAGTGTAAACTTTGGTTAGAGCTATAGCAGAGGGCAGAAAGCAATTAATCAAATTAATTGTGGTCAGGGGATCAAATACTGCAACTTAATGTGAATTTTTTAAGAAATGTAATTTTGAATCCTTGCTACCATTACAATAGCCTATGCTTTCATATTTATACAGGAAGTTCAAGAACAGAAAATAGCATGAAAACAGTGGAATACTTAAATACAGTATGCAGGGTTTACAGAAAATTAGAAGTGAAATTATTCACTGAAAGTAAAGTTGGAGCAATTGCTAAAGTAT